TTGATGATGCTTGGAATGATTCGAGATTCAGCAATGTCTGAACTGAGCCACACTGGGATACAACCGCCTTCAGCTTTGTGGGCTTTTGGTACACAATCTTGAATGCTCATTTCACAGCCATGCTCAAAGTCCAGGGGGCAGATCTCTGATCCCCTCCACCCCCCTGGGTTGCCTTGTCATATTCAAGGAGGCAATGGCCATTGAAATCTACCCTCAAATCCGGATCCACATTTTGCACATTTTTAGTTCAAAATAAGAAAGTTAGTGGAAGGGAACTCTTCTCTCCTCATTGCCCCGACCAGTTGTCAATCCAGTCCAGCAGCCAGTCTCCTATTTGTCCCAACTGCCTTGCCCTTTCTTCCTTTCTTACCCTTCATTTCATAAAAGCTTCACAAGAGAGAGGGGAGAACCAATTTGTGTCAGGGCTTCTGTTTCGTTAGGTGCTCCCGCCGCCGTACAAATCAGACACATCCACCATTAGTTCTCTCCCTGCCCTGGAACACCCACTGACGAAAGGTTTGAGGACTCACCCATGAATCCCAGTGACAAGAAAGATCAGGTTCCCGTTGATCTTGGTACAGTTGATGAACTTGTCGATGTTGCTGGAGTCCACGGTCTGAGCGGACATCAAACTGCCTGTGCCAATGCCGTCACATGCTGCCAAAAGAAGAACCCCGTGAGAACAGCTGGCAAGGGGATGAAATGGAATGATAAATGTGTGTTCCTGAGGCCCTGTACCTCAATTTCCCCCTGGGATGAGCAGAATGGGTCTGTTAAAACAAGACCCAATTAGAACTTTTGCCCACTCCTCAAAATGAACAGGACAAGATTCCCGAGGTTCAAAGAATACGGCTGAATACTTGTGATATAGACTTTTGGGCAAGACATGACAATGCTGTCTTCATTCTCTCTCACCAACCAAATGACATACCAACAGGGCCTGGAAAAACTCGTGCACCCTTAGCATCATGGCTTGGCTTTTGTATCTTTCATAAGGGTCTAACAGTGCTAGAAACTTCCCCATAGGGTCCTTATGTCAATGCAATTCAAACCTTGCATGCTCTGGGGTGTAAACTGCACATAGGCATGTACAGTATGTATTACACAATAAGGCTACGTGTCCACTACAGCTCTTTTCCTGTACCCCGGAAAAGCTCTGCCACGTCCAAGGAATGCATCCGCTTTTCCAAAAAAAACCATCAGAAAAGCGGACGCGTTCCTTCACCATCCCTTTAAGCCTGGTTTTACGAGGAAGAAGGGATGTGTCAAAAGAGGAGGTTTTTCCAACATTTGGCACCGTGTAGACACACCATATTTTGGAAAAGCCTCTTTTGAAAGAAAAGTGGAAAACGATACGCAAATTGCGTATCGTTTTCCGACTTTTCTTTGTAGTATAGACATAGCCTAATACAACATCTCCATCTCTCTGCCTAACTAGGCAGCAGCATCTAGCAAGAAAGCATGAGAGTCCCCCGCCTCTAGATGTTCAAAAGACATCAGTAATCTCTTTCTTCCCAAAGGGCGAAACTAAGCACTTGATTGGAAAATGGTCTTTGCCCATTTGGTCGGTGTGGGAAAGAAGTGTGTGTTGCAGGAAAGCCATGTTGTGGAGATGACTGTTACATTCAGCTGAGAATGCAGTAAGGCTAGTTGCACTGATCAGCATACGGTGAAATTCCTTGTGTTTATCTGATTTGTGACAGCCAGTGTGCTGATTGGACCAGGTTTTGTGTAGCTGTCTGATGGGCTAGTGGCATCTCCCCCGTTATGACACAGGTGAGCGGTAAGGGAAATTGACAGCATTTTTTCCCCATTGCTGCTGAAATATGTAACAGGGAAAGGAACTCTAGTCTCCCCCAGATGTGGAGCTGTTGGAAAGGCAAAGTGGCCCAGGTGTCTACCTGGAAGTCTCCTGGGGAAGCAGGAGGGATGTAGATATTTCATCAGTGCTACTGGAGGGAAGGAGAAGGTCTCTCTTCTCTCCAAACTGTTCAGAGAGGAGGCAGGGGAACATGAGAGCACCAGATGTGAGAGAGAACAGAAATCCAGCTGTTTTACTATCAGGTTTCCTGGGACATCCCACAAAGATGACAATAGAGATAGTGAAGAGTCGAGGCTCTTTGGAAGTGGTCCCAAAAGGTTCTAGCAGCTAAGTTTTCAAAATCTGTAAGTCTATTCCACTCAGAAAACGATCCCTGCTTTTTCCTATGAAGAAATGAGCCTTGTTCTATATTATCACTGTCCATGATAAACCTATATTACATTGTATTTTGGAATATTCTTCAGTAGGCAGCTATCATAGTTCAATGTTCTGTGGACGCCCAAAGGCTATTAATACCAGATTTCCCTGAACTTATTCATGAATGCATTTCATTTAAAAGTAATACCATGTTTTGCTCTATTAGAGTGCAGAGTAAATTCAAGCAAAGCTATTATGAAGGATAATCTACCTTTAGGACAAATGTCAGTGCACGGTTTGCACATCTTAATACCATTTTCTTCAACCTCCATCTTGGAGCTGGGACATGCACGCACACAAGAGCTGGAATCTACCACAAAGTTATCTGCAACAAAATAATGCAGTGCTGAAAACCAATCCAGTACATTAAGTAATACTAGGGCATGCTTTTGGAGGTGCTGAAAATCAATACGGTTTCATTACTACCTTGATTATTTTAATTATGGGTAAAATCATCAACTACTGACTCCTAAGCAACTTAACTAAGTCCCACTGAATGTTATTGAGACTTAGATTTTCCTCAGTGCCCATGTCACCTCCGAAAATGGGATGAAGGCTCCTTTGTAATTTTTTTATAGTTTTACCCGTTATTTTGTAAAATGTTTTGAAAATATTGTCACTTCTTTTGCATCCAACTACTGAAAATACAGCACTGGACAAATATCTGTGTGAAGGACTTCAACAGAAATCACATGAATGCCTACAATACCCGAGAGTCCTGATATATAGAGCCTTGAGAAGAAACATACCTTTAACGACCAAGAGAGACTAAGTTATCTCATGTGATCTTTTTTGGGGGGACCCTATATGCCAGCTTTTTTTTCCCCCCACATAGTCTGCAAGTATATTGGGTACTATTAATATAATGAAGCTATTGCTGAAATCGTTGGCACTACTCATGGAGTATGCTACTACTCATTGTAAATAACAGTGGAACAATTTAGTCCTTAATATTAAGAGTCAGAGTTCTTACTAGTTACCACAATGACCATGGTCTTCCCTATTGCAATTATATGGAAAAACTCAGTAGTGGTAAATTCTACAGTCTGATAATTGCTACAGTTTTAATGATGCCGGATAAACTTCCAAGACAGCCTGGGGTTGAGGGTCAGGACTTTCTACACATATGGGTAAATGAAACTGAATGGCTGGAAGTCAACCCAGTATGAAACCACCCCTCTTCCCTATTGGCCAGGAAGAAGACCTTCCCATTACAGGTAGAACAACACCTGTCTCCACCTTTTCAATAGAGGTCTTTGCACTCTGCTGATCATTTTAGTATTCATGGGCTTTCCAGCAGTGCATTAAGCAATGTGACTACAAGTTGAACCTCTCTAGTCCAGCACTCTCTGGTCCAGCATCATCCAGGTTCCGGCATGATTTAGCTGCTGGATGTCCACTTGTCATGGGTGTGGCCAAGTTTCCCATGGTCCCATAAAGTTTGTTCACAGTCACCCATCCTGGCTCTCAGTGTTCTGTGCTATTTACCTCCAATTTACCCCTAAATGACTTCTAAAAGCAGTGAAAGTGTTGGGAATGCTGCTAGACACTATGGACCTCCTGTGGGCCTGCAAAGTCTCTGGTTCAACACCAGACAGGTTCCGAGGGTGCTGGATTAGAGCAGTTCAACCTGAAGTATCTGTCATGCACGTCTTCCCTCAGCCTCTCCCCCAGGACAGAAGAGTGTGCAGGGCCTTGTGCATGGTTTTGTTTTTTATTATTATTTTTCAAATGAATGCACGTGCTCTCTCACACAGAACTCTGTGGCTACGTGAGAGAAGGCGATGCCACAGAAAGGTACTCAGAGAAATAAACAAAGAGATCTTTGATGATTCTTAGTTCCTGCGAGCACCTGAAGGCACAGTTCTTCGGTGGGTCTCAGGCACATTGGGTTGAGCCAATCATTTAGAATATTCATTGGAATTTCCAGAATTTTATCCTTAAAATAAATGCTGACAAATAAATGTGACCAGCCATCGATGCTGACTTCGGCTCTAGCCAGAGAGTGATCAACACCCCTCCTCCCTGCCCCAGGCCTCTCCCCCACTCTATCCTGCCTCACGTCTTCCCATCTGATCCCCCTCACTCTGTCCCCTTCTACCAAGCTGCTGTCCCAACCTGTCTCCTTTCACCCCTTCACCAGAATGTGCTGGGTTCTTACAGCATACCTTCCCTCCAGGAGCCTTGGAATGCCATGGAACAGCAGTGCCATGGTTGTTGGAGGTGCTGGGAGCAGAGGGACAGAGAGAAGAGTCGAGCTGCCAGTAGATGCTCAGCACCCGCTAATTTTTCCATGGGTGCTCCAGCCCCAGTGCACACACAGAGTAAGCACCTATGTGTCCATCTCTATCCCAGGGCATCTATGGAGGGAGAATGTTTCTAGAGTGGGATAGGAGGGACCTTTTTGGGAAGGGTTGTATTCAGAATCTATACAGTATAATCTGTACTATACTGAATACAATAACACTGTGTACCCTGTACAGTGAGAGAGAACCCCAAACTGGAACAGTGGATTACGAAATACTTGGATTTAAGGAAAATATTGGTAACAAAATTAGCAACCCATTTCTAAATTTGGGGAAAGAAAGGTCAGAACTACAAATATGTCTGAATATCCTCCCTGTTCTTTCACATCTAGCTTGCATATATAATTGGAAGAAACAAATTATTTTACTGAAACTAAAGTTTCTATCATTATACAATCATTTTTCATTTAGTACCGATTTCTGCTTTACTCAGTAAAGGATAATTCCAAAGGCTGACAAAACCCTAATAAGAACATATACATAATAAACATTAGTTTTGAAAACTGAAAGCCAATTATGTTTCTTTTGCCCCCCTTTGGATCCAGAACAGCACCCCAAAAGGTCACTCTCTCAATTTCAAGATATTACGGCCAAAGAGCATACATGAAGCTATTACAGTAGTTACTTATAAATTTAAGATTAATGGTTTCTTAATAGGGTTTTGTTCCTGTTGCAGCTGTTGTTTTTAGGAGTTATTGCTTTATGAAAACACTATTGGACAAAGTGAAAAAGCAGTCGTGTAACTTACGTGGGCACTTCTTGACACAGAAAGCTCCATAGGTGTATTTGGCGTTGTGGTTGTGCTCCAGCTGGAAGGTGGTGGGATTGTAGACAAAAGTCTGGGGGCACTGAGTGACGCATGCGCCACTGTCATTGAAATTCACGCAGGCCTGTAACACAAGAAAGCAAGATGATAGTGGCATGGCACCTTTTGGATTTACTGGTACTTTCTCCCGAGCAAAACCCTGACTCTCCTCTAGCTACAAAAGCATTATTGCAGTCATATAGCCATAGCGGATGGGATATACAGTCAACCTGTGGAACTCCTTGCCAGAGGATGTGGTGAAGGCTAGGACTTTAACATGGTTCAAAAAGAGCTAGATTACAGGTTAGGTCCATCAATGTCTATTAGCCAGGATGGGTAGGAATGATGTCCCTAGCCTCCATTTCTCTGGAGGTGGGTGACAGGGGAGGGATCACATGAGGATTACCTGTTCTGTTCCCTCCCTCTGGGGCATCTGCTATTGGCCACTGTCAGCAGAGAGGATACTGGGCCAGATGGACCTTTGGTCTGACTCAGTATGGACATTCTTATGTTCTTATACACTGTTTTCCTTTCTTGTCTGCTTTCACCTACTTAGGTTTCTTAAGTTATTAGCAAAACATGGATACATTCAAAGCCCCGAACATTCCATTTTAAATCCATAACACATCTTCTAAAAGGGAAACTTGATTTTGTTCATTATGAAACCTCTTGGTTTCTGAGGACAGGACAAGGAGTAATGGACTTAAAGTGCAGCAAGGGAGGTTTAGATTGGACATTAGGAAAAAATTCCTAACTGTCAGGGTGGTCAAATATTGGAATAAATTGCCAAGGGAGGTGGTGGAATCTCCCTCTCTGGAGATATTTAAGAACAGGTTAGATAGACATCTGTCAGGGATGGTGTAGACGGAGCTTGGTCCTGCCTTGAGGGCGGGGGGCTGGACTCGATGACCTCTCGGGGTCCCTTCCAGTCCTATGATTCTATGATTACGATAGGTTGCACCTCTATAAACCAGGACTCTCTGGTCTGGACTCTCAGGCTGTGTCTACACTACAGGGTTTTTGAACAAAAATATCCATGTTTGCACAAAAACTCGTGGAGTGTCCGCACCTCAAGTGCATTTTTGTGCAAGAAAATTTATAGTAAAATGGCAGAACAGAGGGCTTTTTGTGGTGTAGGTATATCTCTTTCTATGAGAAATAACTCCTTTTTACACAAGAGTTCTTGTGCAAAAAGGTGTGTGTGGATGCTCAACAGGGGTTTCTTGTACAAAAAGAACCCATCTGCAAATGGCAATCAGAACTTCCTTGCACAAGAGCATCCATGCAGTGTGGACGTGCTTTTAAGAAGTTTTTGCGGAAGATCTCTTCCACAAAAAGCTTCTTGCACAAAAACCCTGCAGTGTAGACAAAACCTCCGATCAGAGTCCTGGTGCACTGCGGCGGGTGGGGGAGACTGGGAGCTCAGAGCGATGTGGGATGAGGAGGGGGGCAGGAGCTCGACTAGATTCATGTTCACCCCAAGTCTGAGAATATCATTAAACCTGTGTAGGTAAATACAATGAAACAGCTATGCCACCACAGGAAGGGTATTGGCTTGCTCAGAGGTGAATGCCTAGATTAATGAGGGCCAGTGGGTGGAGAGGAACAGGAGAACTTTCCCCACCAATATTAAAACATTTTTACCACAGGATTTGAGAGGCTGCCGTGATGGGCCAAAGGATTCCTTAATGCATCACGGACAGCACTTTTTGTTTATGAATAAATATTAATTTACTTTGTTTCCTCAACACATTTTTGACATACACTGTTGTCTCAGCGAGTACTTCATCCCCCACATGACAATCCTCTGACGATGGCTTAATAAATGCATAATCAGAATGACAACACTTCCCAGGAAGCATCTATTAAAAACCAATCTAGAAGACACAGGAAGTTTGAATTTACGATTGTAGAACTTTGTGTACATTCACGATTGTTTCGCTAACACAGTGTTTCTCACAGTAGGCCATGGGTCTGCTCTGGGAAAGCCACTAGTGGTCCCACACTGCTTTGTTTAATGATAGCATTCATAGACAGGAAGCTTCCTGTGGCTCCCCTTGGCAAACTGGAGTCAATGCAAGATGCGAGGCTTCATGGCTACCGACCATAGGCAAACTAAATGGACACGGACCTGCTAGTGGCTTTCCCCATGCGCGGCTGTGGCATACTTTGAGAAACACTGCACTAACATATGCAAAATATAGAGCGCTTGTTTAGAAATGGACCCACTATGCATATGAAAGAAAAACAACCATCACCAAACAGGCACAGGAAAATTCAAGAGGTACATCTCAATTTTTTCCCCTGGCATCACTCTGGGGCTCTTTGTATTTTCACACTGGAGAACTACAAATGTCGCCACAACTATTTTTAGCAGAGCATTTTCATAATTGCTATAGAGATGCTCCAGAAAATACAAGTGAAGTGTTTACTGGCCCATAGAAATCACATTTTCTCCTATGTGCTGTGGCGTTACAGAAATACCATAGCACATACATGCCCTTCAAACACATCAGGAAGGATAGGGGTAAAGTTAAGGTGATAGTTAAGGTGAGAGACTGGGACTCAGAAGATATGGGGATAAAGTCACAGTACTGCCAAAGACTTCTGAAGTCATCTTGTACAAGTTACTTAACAAGTCCCCAACTGTAAAATGGATAATAATACTTTTCCTTCATAGTTTGTCTTGCTACACTGTAAACTTGTTTTACAGGGACTGTCTCATGGGGGACCTGGTATAAAGTCACCTGAAGTCACTGGATGGATTTTCATTGACTTCCAGCTCACTTAGCACTGAATGTCCACACAGTGGACATGTTCAGTTTTAAATAAGGCCCTCGTGGCAGTTGGCAGTTTTAGTTGTTAATGCAAACAGCAGTGTGTTGGCTGTCACTATGCTTCATCCAAGGTGACTCAGAACTGCTTAGTGGTGGCGGGGATGGAACTAGAAATGAATACTGCAAAGCACAGGCCTTCAACAGTAAAGCTAAGGAAAAAGATCTATGTTTTGTGACATAGTTGAATACTTCTGTTTCCATTCAAGAGAGGCAACTATAGACATACATTCTAGACAGTCCATGATTCTCTCTTGGGCTATGATATAAAATACACAATATTGTGCATGGCATATGCTCTGCTAATGGAATTATGCTATCTTACAGAAATGTTTAAAAGTGTCTATGGCTTCCATTTCTTCTGAAGAAAAATACTTTCTATGCTGGTTTATTAGTATGGATTAGTTCAGTACCTAACCTGAAATTACTAGGGCAAAATTTAAATGCATACTCATCTTCCATATTAACACCGTGTGTCTTTGTAGGGCAGTGTGATCAGGGTACATGAATTTCTTCATTAATAGAAGCAAAGGCTGCTTTCTGAGGTATACAACTAATTGACTGCATCTGGAAATAATTTGCCCCTACTGAAAACGTCTTTTTTAGAAAATTAAACTCCTGATTCAGTTTTCCATCTTTTTCTTTTTGAAAGGGTGTACTGTGTGCATTTGGATTTTAGTGAACGGGGAACCATTTTTCTTTTCTTTCTTCTAAGCACTCCCCAAGTTGAATAGATGAATTTATTTAAATACAGTCTGGGAAGCACAAAAAAAAAGTGTTCACTAAGAAGCCAAAACATATTCTCAAAACTTTGGACAAAAAACCTACCAAGCAAAATAAATGCTACATATGAGCGCGTGTGCACTTCAACCCAAAATGTAATGACAAATTCCTATAAAAAATGCCCCCATCTATTAAAGCTAATTTTAGAAGAAGCAAAAGATAAGAATCACAGAGATTAGCATATAAATGGCTCCCAATCTGTATTTGTAAAGCTCATAAATCTTTTAATGAGTAACATAAGCTGATAAGTAATGTAAATGTAATGGGAAAAACTACGAAATGATAAAATTTGCAGCTAAAAGCTTGAAATGTAGAGGCAATTTAATTAAAGGTGACAAAATACATTGAATCTCGTGGATTAAAGCGTGTGCACTTGCACTGTGGCTGGCAGGGTAAGGGAAAAGTAGTAACATCCAAACGTACAAAGCAGTCAGTGTCTTTCGGTCCAGAACAGCCCCCAGCACATTCCCGATGGCAGCAGTCACTGACGTATGGCCCGTAGCATCGTCCATCACATTGCTCTGCACACACTGTCTTTGTCACTGGAGAGGAGAGAGGAATCAGCCATCAAGTGAGAGCTATTTACGCTGAACCAGGATATTAAAAACAAAAACGACAACGACAGAGTATTAAGAGGTGAACGTCTGATTCTCTAAAACAGCCATGAGGCCAGTGGTCAGGCCTGGCCTGTGTACTAACCCATCTACAACAAAACACGAGATTGCCCACATTGCAGGTCAGGTGTGTCTGGATTTTGGAGGATTTGTTTTTTCAACCTTGGGAAGTCAGGACAAAGCCCGAATCTCTATTTTCAGGGAAAAACTTAAAAAAAAAAACCAACCCCAAATAGTCTGGTTGCACTTTAAAGACTAACAAAATATGTAGATGGTATCATTCATTTTCAGGGAGATAGCAAAGGTTGATAACTGGCTCGGAAAAAGCCACTTGGGATATGAATCGCTCATAATGAAGGTTTCTGTAAAGAATGGCAGGGCTATATTACAATATGCAGTAACTCAGAGTGAGCTGAGCACATTTGGCTTTCAACTAGCACCCATGTAGCTAATGGTGGTGAATGGGTCTATCAAAGCAGCATCTACTTCATGTATGGTAACATTCCACTCTGCAGTCAGTTCTTTGCATCTATTTCCTAAATGCTACATTATAGCCTAGGTTTCAGACAGAAATCAGGCTTCTTGTTCACCTTCAGTGGCATCATCTTCATCTATGCCAGGGTTGAATTTGGCCTTATGTTTCAGGAACCAAATGAGTCTCTACTATTTTTCAGGACTTACATAACATTATGTTGTTAAAAACACAAGCAACTCTGGTGTTTACAAGCTCCATCAACCACGGGGCATTTCTTAATTGACGTCAGTGGTACTAAGATTTGGCCCAACCACTTCCCTGTTACAATTTTTTAAAATAAATAAATAAATAAATAAAATAAATCTTACCCTCTACATTGTATCCAGTTAAATACCAAGTCTTCTTCTCCCGTTAAAGAACTATTGGTCTTCACTTATAAAACATGCAAGAAGTTGCTACTTTTAAAAACAGGTAAAATTCCCAATTCCCTAAATTCCTGGTGATTCAAAGGCAGCAACGGAACATTGATCTTCGATATTCTAGTTAGACTGAGCCTACTTAATTCTGTCTAATTGAAACAGGAATCCTTCTTTAGTGACTCATGTTCAAATGTGGTAAAAGGAGGTTTCTGGAGTTCTCAGTAAGAAGCTGGGAAAGTTCACTGCGGACTCCGTTTTATTTTTTCTAAAATGAAACTTGCATTTAACTTCTGCATAAACTCATAATAGTCTTCCATGTATAGGTCTGCCTCTCATACTGAAGGGTCCCCAACCACTAAATAATTGGTCTGGTATATAGAACACGCAAAGGGATCACTTCATCAAAGCCTCAAATCCAAGTGCCTCTGGATGAAACACAGTCCCGCTGTGCGAAGGACAGAAAGTGAGAAATGGGGAGGCTGATGGAAATTGCAGGTGGAATTCAAGCAGGCAGAATTTGGTAACCAAATTGTAATCTGCACAGTGTCTGGAGATGAACACCACTGCTCTGCCAAATAACAGTTTGTGATTTGATAATGGTAAGTGACTAGCACCAGAGTTCTTTTGAATCCCATTCAAATTACCTAGTTTAGATTCACCTGCAACATTGCTGAGTTCCCTCAGAACGTGATAGGGCAATGTTTCAGTAATGCCAGAGCAACAATGTGTTACTTCCTTAATCACCTTCCTGAAACACATTTCTGTCTTTAGAGATATCAAGAAGCAACATAGAATCATAGAATCGGAAGGGACCTTGAGATGTCATCAAGTTCAGTCCCCTGCCCTCACGGCAGGACCAAACACCATCTAGATCATCCCTGATAGATGTCTGTCAAACCTGCTGTTAAATATCTTCAGTGATGGAGATGCCACAACAAGCAATTTATTCCAGTGTTTAAAAACCCTGACAGGCAGGAAGTTTTCCCTAATGTCCAACTTAAACCTCGCTTGCTGCAGTTTAAGCCCATTTCTTCTTGTCCTGTCCTCAGAACCAAAGAAGAACAATTTTTCTCCCTCCTCCTTGTGACACCCTTTTAGATACTTGAAAACCGCTATCACGTCTCCTCTCAGTCTTCTCTTTTCTAAACTAAACAAGCCCAGTTCTTTCTGTCTTCCCTCATAGGTCATGCTCTCTAGACCTTTAATCATGTTTGTTGCTCTTCTTTGGACCTTCTCCAATTTCTCCACACGTTTCTTGAAATGTGGTGCCCAGAATTGGACACAATATTCCAAATGAGGCCTAATCAATGAAGAGTAGAGCGGAAGAATGACTTCTCATGTCTTGCTCACAACATTCCTGTTAATGCATCCCAGAATCATGTTTGCTTTTTTTTTTTTTGCAACAGTGTCACACTGTTGACTCATGTTTAACTTGTCATCCACTATGACTCCTAAATTCCTTTCTGCCGTACTCCTTCCTAGACAATCATTTCCCATTCTGTATGTGTGAAAGAGATTGTTCCTTCCTAAGTGGAGTACTTTGCATTTGTCCTCATTAAACTTCGTCCTGTTTACCTCAACCTGTTTAACTCCAGCTTGTCCAGATCATTTTGAATTATGACCCTGTCCTCCAAAGCACTTGCAACCCCTCCCAGCTTGAGGGATCTATCATCTGCAAACTTAATAATTATATTCTCTATGCCATCATCTAAATTGTTGATGAAGATATTAAACAGAACTGGCCCCAAAACAGACCCCTGCGGAACTCTACTTTTTATGCCCTTCCAGCAGGATTGTGACACATTAATAACTTCTCTCTGAGAATGGTTATCCAGCCAGTTATACACCCAACTTACAGTAGCCTCAGCTAGGTTGCATTTCCCTAGGTTATTGATAAGAAGCTCAAGCAAGACCATGTCAAAAGCCTTACTACATAACAGTGGACAGTAGGAGTCAGCAGACCTGGGTTCTAATCCCAACTCTAACCCTTGCCTTCAGTAAGTCACTTTAGTTCTGTTTCCCTTCACACCTTGGCTACGTTTACACTGGCATGATTTTGCACACATACTTTTAACACACAAGTTTTTGTGTTAAAGTATTTGCACAAGAGAGCGTCTACACTGGCATGTGCTTTTGCGCAAGAGAGCGTCTACGCTGGCATGTGCTTTTGCGCATCCGTGCCAGTATAGATGCCCTCTTGTGCAAGAAAGCTCCGATGGCCATTTTAGCCATTAGGCTTTCTTGCGCAAGAAATTAACGTTGCCTGTCTACACTGGCCTCTTGTGCAGGAATACTTGCGCAAGAGGGCTTATCCCTGAGCGGGAGTGTCAGAGTATTTGCACAAGAAGCACTGATTTCCTACATTAGAATGCAACTACTTGCATTCCTACATTCTTGTGCAAATACTTGCGGCCAGTATAGACAGGTGGCAAGATTTTGCGCAAAAGCACTTGCTTTTGCGCAAAATCTTACCAATGTAGACACAGCCCTTTTGTCTACCATATCTCTTTATATTGTAAGCTCTCTGGTGCTGCTACTTCTCGCTGTGGGCATATCTGCACAGCAGGCCTATAGTTGGAATAAGCTTCACAACTTCAGTGGCATCAATTGCCTAGCTGATGTCAAATTAGCTTAATTCGGGTTTTGGCACTGTCTACACAGCAGGAAGTTGAAGGAAGAGTGTTATTCCTTGGACTTCCCTTACTCCTCATGAAACGAGGGTTACTATGAGGGGGTATGTCTACACTACAGCGCTAGTTCGAACTAACTTAGTTCGAATTAGTTAATTCGAACTAAGCTAATTCGAACTAACGCGTCTAGAACTAAAAACTAGTTCGAATTAGCGTTTTGCTAATTCGAACTAGCAAGTCCACATTGAGTGGACTCTGAACAGGGCTTAAGGATGGCCGGAAGCAGTGCCGGCAGGGCATCAGAGGAGGACTTAGAGCGTGGAGATGCTGTCTCAGGCTAGCTGAGGGCTGTGCTTAAAGGGCCCCGAACTCCACCCCGGACAGACAGTTCTCAGGGGTGCCCCGCTTGCAAAGCAGTCCTGGCTTGGAATGCCCGGAGTATCCACACTGGGCACATCACACCACTCGGCCATCAGCCCGGCTGCACTTGCCGCAGGCTGCCATCTGGGGAGAGGGGGCAATCGGGGGGCTGCAGGAGAGCTTCCACCCCCAGAAGCCCGCAGAGCCAGCCCAGTCCTCCCCATCGGGAGCTCGTACCCCATTCCTCCCTCACCTCCTTCCACTTACCCTTCCCTAGCCCCCCTTCTTATTGATGTACAAAATAAAGATAACGTTTCTTCCAACATTGACTCTGTCTTTATTGAACAAAACTGGGGGAGACTGGGAAAAGGAGGTGGGAGAGGGGAAGAGAAAGGCTGGGAGAAGGGAGGGCAACTAACATGATCAGGGGTTGGGAACAGGTCCCAGATGAAGAGAGGCTACAGAGACTGGGACTGTTCAGCTTAGAAAAGAGGAGACGGAGGGGGGACAGGATAGAGGTCTCTAAAAGCAGGGGTTGGGTGGAGAGGGTGCATTCAGAAAAGTTCTTCCTGAGATCCCATAAAGAAGGACTAGAGGACACCAAAGGAAAGGAATGGGTAGCAGGCTTGAAACTAGTAAGAGAAAGTTGTTCTTCTTGACAAAGCAAATAGTTAACCTGTGGAACTCCTTGCTGCAGGAGGCTGTGAAGGCTACAACTAGAACAGAGTTTAAAGGGAAGTGAGATCAAGTCATGGAGGTTGGGTCCATGGAGTAGTCTTAGCCAGGGGGTAGGAGTGGTGTCCCTGCCCAAAGTTTGTGGAAGGCTGGAGAGGGATGGCACGAGACAAATGGCTTGGTCACTGTCTTCGGTCACTGTTGGCCACTGTCGGCAGACAGGCAACTGGGTAGATGGACCTTTGGTCTGACCCAGGACGGCCATTGTAAGCTCACGGCTCAGAGTCGGGGGTCTCAGTGGACCCCCTTGATTTTCATGCACACCTGGTCCTGGGTGGCCAGGCTGGCAGCCCTCCTGCCCTAGATCTG